TTCCATTAATTGTAACTTACCCGAAGGATAATACAGGGATTTTGAAATATTAATCACATTTTCAATCAAGGGAAGCAGTTAAGCATTGAATTATTATTTTTTTTATATAGTCTCATAACTGCAACGGTGAGTACAAATTTTCATAACGTGTTAACGCGCGTTACTCAATTTGTAGGCACACACCGTTGCAGTTATGAGATCATATCTTTCAAAAAATAACGATTCAATGCTTAAAAAAATTCTCCCCAAACCACCTTTTTTGTCCATTTAAGTCAATTCTTTAAATCTAAGCCAAAAAGAATTTTAGTATGCAATTTTTTTTAAAGCAAAAAATACAAGATTTTGGAGTGACCCTATTTACATTATTGTGTTGCACTCCTGACATCTAAAAGTATTTTATTTGACATTGATTTAAAAATTATAACACATAATAATCAATTCTTAGTTTGTACATCAGTTCGTCGTTTTGATATTTTTAATCATTTACGGCAAGTTTTTCATATTTTCAAGACTTCAAAACATGATTATTTTCATTTTGTGAAATACTAATATATATAATTGTATTTGAAAATGCCTCAAGTGATGAAAACTTTTCTCTGAATTGACTGTAAAATGTCTATAATTAGTTGATAGACAAACTGTTTTGAACATCAAATAGTATCAAACATTATTTTTCAATTTATTTTTTAGTATAAAATAAAGATCACTGATCTTTAATAATATCTTCACCCTAATATCTTTCAGTAATTATAAAACAGTTTTGTTGCACTCCTGACTGCAGTAAAATTAAAACCATAGAGCACAAAAATTCATAAAGTGTAGGTAACATCAAGTGGTATCGAAATTGTGCAATATGTATAATCCAATACTTTTAAATAAAACACACAAATGTATTTAAACTTGGCTTTATATCTTGAATTATTCCCTATCTATGTCAACAAACTAGCTAAAATATATACATGTATCTAGAAGATAACATATATTTATAGTATATTTTCCTTCACAGGACACTGTAAGCAACTGAGGTCAACCAGAAACATTCTACTCATCATTTTTTTGTTTATATTTATTCATATTTGATCAGCAATAATTCTAATATATTTGTTGCACTCCTGATCAAGAGCATGGGAGTCATTAAAACAGAATTGTGAAGCGAAAATTACATCAGAACTTGTTCTGTTGCTGCAGTGAAGTAGAGGTAGTATTACTTGAATTTTATAACAATTTTTTCAATATTTATTTTTAAAAAATCAAAGAAAAGATAAAAACACATCTGAATTGATATAACTGGAAAGGAGAAGGATTATAATAATAAAACTGTCAATAATTAAGTACTTAATTATTCAAGTAGATCTTTATTACTTAAAGAATATTTCTTAGCATGAATTGAAGTATTTTAAACATATAACTTGAATTTCTAAAAAAAAAAAATGTGCTGCACTTCTGAGTATTTTATTATTATCATTATTGAGTATGCACAAATACTTGACTCTCATTACATGTAATGCTGCTTGTGATTTATATAACATTTTTAAGTTTTAAATTGTATATCAGTTATCGTTTTACACTTTGAAAAATTCTTTTTTGACTTAATTGTCTTTCAGATTTTTAAATTCGATGTTTTTTTTTTTTTGGGAATACTACATTTTTCTGTTTCACATGGTGTAACATTTTTTTTCCAACAACAGCCATGGCCATAACTTGGTCAAACAAGAGTTGCTACAGTCTTTGAATATTATCAAGAAAGTACTTATTTCCAACATGAACCATTATTATTTATTTCACAAATTTTCAAAAAATATTGAATTTTCAAAATGTAACAAAATGATGCTGTACTTCTGACATTTTAGCATCATTTCTGGGCATAGCTTTTTTGTGAGTTGAGATATCAATGAGACCATTCGGCAAGTATTTAAACACTATCTAAAGACATGCTGAGACATAAAAATTTATTCTCATTGCCTGTATTTTTAGTGCAGGTTGATAAATATGTTTGGTCATTTTTTTTTAATCCACCCATGTAGCAATAAATGCTACCATAGCTACCAAGGCACATAGCAACCAAATTTTTGATTCATGAATTTGGTTTGTGTTTCTGGTTTCAATGGACGAAGTTTCATCAAAATTGGTGACAATGCGTGCCAGAAAAGTGGTTACAGAGAATTGCTCTGAATGATTAAATGCATTTTCACTCTACAAATTGCATAACACCTCAGCCTTGGGGCTTGAACTTCATGGACTCAAGTCAGGAATTTCACAATTTGTTTTGAGATCCCCTTTCCTGTTATTGCTTTGGGCTGATTTCCTCCTAAATGCTTGTTAGTGTAGGATATTTTGTCACCCGAGTCACTCATGAACAATGTTATCACTGGTCGTCCGTCGCCTCAAGTCGTATTCTGCGAATAGTCCTCTTTCTAGGGCTAATTTTAACCAAAACTAGTGTGAAGCTTTTATGCGAATAGTCCTCTTTCTAGGGCTAATTTTAACCAAAACTAGTGTGAAGCTTTTATGCTTCGAAAATTGTGAAGTTTTTGTGTCCTTGGACCTTAAAGGCTAGGACAAAATGTAAAAAGGCATGCAATATTTAAAAATCTTCTTTACGTATGACCCCTGTCATCTAGTTGTTTAGGTCCCAAGGCTGGGCTATATAAACAAAATGTTAAAAATGCATTTCCCTTACAAAAATCATGATTTTTTACAATAACAAACATCTAGGACACATAGTTTTCAGGGACATGCACGATACTTAAAATGTACTTAAAGTAATTTGGACAACAGATGCTGCAGTTATTCAAGTGACATCTAGGGCCCATGAGCCTGCCATTAAAGATGAAACGTATTTTCATTATACATGTATATACCGGTATTATATAGCCCCACTCTATGGTTTCAACCCCTAAGGCTTGGGTCAACGAGCTCACAGTGTATGTAGAAATTACCTTGCTTGTTGTTGCTATGTACTCATTTAATACTTTCTAGAAAAGCTTAAAAATAAAACAAGTTATTATACATGTACTATACTGCTAATAGCTCAACCCTGGCGCTCAAACCACTTGGGCAGAATCATGTATTTAGCACTTTTTGCTTGTTAAAACTATGCACACATCTAGTAAAATAGAAAAAAAATTCTTAACATTGCATGAGTTTTAGCAAAATTGCGCCCAACCTTTAAGTCCCTGGGATAACGCTTATGAAATTCTCAATTATATGTAGCTCTTCACAAATAGTAGGTTCACACTCATTTTATTTGAAATTGGCCAATTTATTTCACAACAGAAGTTGTTCAAAAGTAAACGGACGACTATGGACGCCTGGTGATAAGAAGAGGTCATTTTAGTGACATGGGTTACTTAAAAATATTTTTAGTAAACGTTACCTTGGATTTAAACATTTCAACTGCACTATGTTCATTTTAAGACCTTTCCAAAAAAAAAGTTCCTTTTTTTTGGATTGCAATCTTTGTTCTTACATTTTATTTATCAGTAAATCACAAATTTCATTTGTCGTGGAATTATATTTGTACTTTTTTCCTGAAAATTTTTTTTATAGCGTCTTCGTTTACGGCAAAGTTAGAATAGTTAGGGTTTGTTAACATTTAGGGATACAACTTGGGTCAGGGGATCTTAGTTCGCCAAGGAAAAACATAAGTAATCAGAGATTGCAGAGCTCACCTCAACGACTGTTGTCTTTAAGTAAAGCAAAGCCCCACATTAATAATCTAGTAGTGTGCATCCCTAGATGTAACATTTATGCAATTTTGGTCTGATAGGGCTTGCAGTTACTTGGGAATGGACTTACCTAAAAACTCTAAACTAATCACTCATCCAGAAAATGTAAGTCATATCCAGCATCTGAAGCAAGTTTGAGAGTGTTCATCCCGTGATGCATCATCCATGCAAGTTCGGTTCAGATAGCCCTTACAGTTTATTTAACCTGGTCACTCAACCGTAAAATGTAGGTCAGATACAGCATCCGAAGCAAGTCAAGTAGTCTGCATCTTCAGATGTATCATCCATGCAAGTTTGGTCAACACAGGGCTTAAAGTTACTTGGAAATGAGACCTGCTCTAAAAACTTTAACCTGGTCACTCATCCCGAAAATGTAGGTCAGATCCAGCATCCGAAGCAAGTTACAGTAGTGTGCATCCTAAGATGTATCATCCATGCAAGTTTGGTCAATATAGGGCTTTTAGTTTACTTCGAAATGAGACATGCTCAAAAACTTTAATCTGGTCACTCATCTGGAAAATGTAGATCAGACCCAGCATCCGAAGCAAGTCCAGTAGTGTGCATCCTTAGATGTATCATCCATGCAAGTTTGGTCAATATAGGGCTTTTAGTTACTTGGAAATGAGACCTGCTCTAAAAACTTTAACCTGGTCACTCATCCGGAAAATATAGGTCAGATCCAGCATCCGAAGCAAGCGTGGTAATGAGCATTCTTAGATGTATCATCCATGCAAGTTTGGTCAATATAGGGCTTATAGTAACTTGGATATGAGACCAGCTCTAAAAACATTAACCTGGTCACTCATTCGGAAAATGTAGGTCAGATCCAGCATCCGAAGCAAGTCCAGTAGTGTGCATCCTTAGATGTATCATCCATGCAAGTTTGGTCAATATAGGGCTTATAGTAACTTGGAAATGAGACCTGCTCCAAAAACATTAACCTGGTCATCCTGCAATTGCAGCATCTGAAACCTTGACTGGTACAATGAAACATATTAGAAGCATCCTCCATGCATTTATGATTAATATAGGGCACAGAAGTACTTGAAAAGAAAACTGCACCAAAAACTTTACCCTGGGACGCCGACGGTACTACATAAGCTCCCCCCAACTTCGTTCAGGTGAGCTAAAAAATGGTTCAATCATAACCTTAGCAATTAAATATTCTTTGCTCAGCCTCTTATCCTATTGTGACCTTACCCCTAACAACTTGGATTCAAATACAATTTTCATAACCACATATCTTCAAAACAACAAATATTGCACACTAAAAAGAGTTAGGTTTACTTTATCCATAAAAGTTGCCCTTCACATATATATACCAATTAACTGACAAAGACAATGTCCCATTTCAAACGTCAATTAAAAGTAGAGACTCGTGCTTTCATTTCCTATAAAAAAAAGGTTTCCTCTGATAGTCCAGGTATTAAAAGCATGCTTTGTGAAATTACAATGTTCATCAAGTTGCAGAAAACGGGTTATTTCAGTACCTTCAGCAAAGAATTAAAGTATGAGCACATCCCTCGATCTAAAGATAATGACGCATGACATCATATTACACGGACTAGCGAGAAAACTACGTCATTTTAATAGATATACAGTCACCAAGGGTCCAACTAAAATCAACTAAAACTAAGCCACTGATTTTTCAGAAATTCACAAGGCCAAAAAAGGCCCTAAGTGGACCTTGTTCTTTGACCTTACCTTTACCCTCCAAATTGCTGGGAATGAAATTAAGGGAGATTTACATTGGTTATTCCTAGTACTTTCATTGACAAAACCCGGCATTTTATACTACCCACTCTAATAAGAAAACCTATACTTCAAGTACATTTTTAGAGATTTATATTTTTATTGCTAAATATTTGCTGCTTGTGCCCCAGCAGAGGGCGCTATTAAAGGCACAGATTCTGATGATGTACTGTTTGTTTTCATGGCAGCCGCGGCAAACACGGTATCGAGCATGCCCATTACTTCGCTGAGTTCCGTCATATAATTCACTTCCTGTTCCACAGTATCTCTAAGCTCTGTCAACTGACAGTCCATTACAGGGCTTTGTCCTACTTGTTCTGCGTACAAATCTGAAAGTTGAATCAAAATTACTGAATTGACCTTGTGATCTCCAGGTACCCTAAACTTAACTCCTAAACTTAGAAAGAAAATCCTTAATTCAAGATTTCTTTACATATTTTTTTTCTTCGATGTATAAAGTAGTGGCTACATGTTTATTAAGATTTATAAACACTAGTTTATGCAAAATAATAAATCTATATGTTATTGATTACATACCTAACAGTAAGTTTGCGACATCTAACAGTATAGGTTGAAAAGATGGTTTACTAATATTTCTGAAAATAAAACAAAATATGTAAGGAAACTCCATGGAACTGTCCGAAAAAGTATCCCAACAACAACTTCTACTTCAACTTAGCGCTCGCTCCGTGATCGGAAGGTCGTGTGTTCGAATCACGGCCGCGACTGACCTAAGTCGATAAAAAAAATAAGTAGCAACTGTTCCTAGGCCAAGCGCTTGGCAGTTTGAAGTGAAAGTTGCGGGCCCTTCGGATGAGACCTTAAAAACCGAAGCCTCGTGTCACGGTAGGCGTTCAATTTAGAACAACTAAATTCCCTTCCCTATCCAGAAAATTTCTTGACAAGCAAAAAAAAAAAACAACTTAAAATCTATTTCCCAAACGCGTGAAAAAACACCTATTTCGTTGTGGTGATGGTGGGGTCCTCGTTTTCTGGGGGGGGGGGGGGGTCCAAAGACATTTTTTATTTGCTTCAGTATATACTTCTAATAACTCTGCAAACAAAAACAAAAACAAAAAAAAAAAAACAACGACAACAAACAAACAAAACAAGAGATCAGTCCAAGGTTTAGAAAAAAGATATGCATTTTTCACCTCTGTAATTTATATTAATGAATTTGATGATATAAACCACATGCAGATAATTAAACCGTATAACTTGGTTAAAATACACTACAAACAGGTTATTGATTTTTTTTTTATTAATTGTAATATATAAAATATATACCCAGAGACAAAGATAATTTATCTCTTTATAAACTGAATGATGTACATAACAGAAAGACAATTTACCTATTTATGATTTGGATGATATCCTCTATAAACAGACATTTTTCTTTTTTACGAACAGAATGATATACCCTACAGATAACATATCTTTTTATGAACTGGATGATATACCCCACAGATAACTTACCTCTTTATGAACTTGATAATATACCTCACTGATAACTTACCTTTTTATTAACTGGATTATATACCTTACAAACAGATAATTTATCTCTTTGTGAACTGGATGATATACCGTAGAGACAGATAACTTACCTCTTTATGAACTGGATGATATACATTAGAGACAGAAAACTTACCTCTTTATGCACTGGATGATATACCCTACAGATAACTTACCTCTTTATGAACTGGGTGATATACCCTACCGATAACTTTCCTCTTTATTAACTGGATGATATACCTTAGAGACAGAAAATTTACCTCTTTATGAACTGGATGATATACCCCACAGATAACTTACCTTTTTATTAACTGGATTATATACCTATTATATAACTAACAAACAGATAATTTACCTCTTTATGAACTGGATGATATACCTTAGAGACAGATAACTTACCTCTTTATGAACTGGAGGATATACCCTTCAGATAAATAACTTATCTTTTTATGAACAGTATGATACACCCTACAGATAACATCTTTTTAAAAACTGGATGATACACCCTACCAATAACTTATCTTTTTATGAACTGCATGATACACCCGACAGATAACTTACCTCTTTATGCACTGGAAGATACATCCTACAGATAACGTACCTTTTTATGAACTGGATGATATACCCTACAGACAGATCACTACGACATGCTAGTGCTGCTTTAATAGCGCCCTTCTTCATTAATTCCTGTAAGACTCGGACTGTGATCTCTGGCGACCTTAAACATACTCCATTCTAATGAAAGAAAGAAAAGCTAGTAATATAAATGTCAGATTTCAAATAACCATGTTCACTAAATATTGAAAGTGTTTATAATTATTGCAACAAGAATCACTCTCATCAAAACGTAACTAATATAATTTTTTCTCTCCATGAAACGGATAAGATCCCAGTGAAAACAAACATCCTTTCCTAAATTCATAGTGAAGAGATACATTAACTCGCCTTCATTGCAGCATCTAAAGCTTTTGTGAATTCAAATTTCTTGAAATATTTGTCGTATCTTGCAAGCTGTTCCTTTCGCTTATGTAGTACAACAAAGTCGCTCTGAAAAAAAAAAAAATCTGGAGTTAAATCACTCACAAGTTTACAAAAAACTTTCCTACTACAAAGCCTTGCGTCAATGTCTTATGTGTCATTTATTTTGTTGTGTGATCTAGGAAAGATCTATCGCGGTGGGGTACTTTGTCCTATAGCTTTAATATACTGGAAATTTTAATCCACTTATGGTAATTTTCGCGTTTTCTAAACTAAATCCAATTTCACTGTTTTGAATTCAAGCAAGCATTTTGTTGCCTGATCTAGAAAACGGCTTTTTACTTCACAGTCTTACTAGTACTTTAGCCTTCATTTTGTTTAGTGATCTGGACAAGGGACTTTTTATTTCCAAGTCTTATTTAGTCTTTACTTATTTATTCTTTTAGTGATCTGGACAGGACATTTTACTTCAGTCTTAATGGATTTTTATTGATTTTGTTTTGTGATCTGGACAAGACTTTTTACTTCCAAGTCTTATTGTAGTTTTTATTAATTTTGTTTAGTGATCTGGACAAGACTTTTAACTTCACAGTCTTATTGTAGTTTGTTTAGTGATCTGGACAAGGGACTTTTTATTTCCAGGTCTTATTTTAGTCTTTATTTATTATTCTGTTTAGTGATCTGGACAAGGGACTTTTTACTTCCAAGTCTTATTTAGTCTTTATTTATTTTGTTTAGTGATCTGAACAAGGGACCTTTTACTTCACAGTCTTATTTTAGTTTTCATTTATTCTATTTAGTGATCTGGATAAGGAACTTTTTACTTCCCAGTTTTATTGCAGTTTTTAATTATTTTATTTAGTGATTTGGACAAAGGACTTTTTACTTCTCAGTCTTATTGTAGTTTTTATTTATTTTGTTTAGTGATCTGGACAAAGGCCTTTTTACTTCCTAGTCTTATTTTAGTCTTTTTTTTATTTTGTTTAATGATTTGGACAAAGGCCTTTTTTACTTCCCAGTCTTATTTTGTTAAGTGATCTGGACAAGGGATGTTCTGGACAGGCTTCAATGTTCGTTTTGGGTTTTGTTCTGTCTTTTGATCACACTTTAAACAGTTATAGGTAAACTCAGTGTACCTGCCTCTACTGATTTGTGTGGCATACGATCGTAAAAAAGAATATTTGCTGACTGGTAAACTTGGCACGTTTACCTAAATAAAGGAAGCAACAAGGGACAAAAGAATGATATAAAACTTATAACCATTCCTTGAAAACTTTCTCTGGGGCATATTATAGTTAATGAAAACGGACAATCTTGTGTAAGTATAATTACTCCTAATGGTCGATTAAAAGAAATATTTGGCTGTGTTTTTCATACTCATTTTTTTCATGATAAACGTTCTTGAAATAAAGAAAAAAAAGAAAACCTCTGAGATTCGTTTCAGATCTTTGCGAATAAATCGCAAAAATCCATGTAGTTGTCACAGCGTAAAAAGTGTTGGAAGTGATGGATGAATATTTAGTATGTCAGAAAACCTGCTTGGATCTATGTTGAACAGGATAAACATAAACAATGATAGATAGACGGCAGATGATGGTGCTACTTCAACATTCCTTCACCTTCAATAGCGTTACTTCATAATCTACACAGAAAACCGCTTTGAAGATGAAAATGAAATTTTTATGACAGACAAGATTGAATAAAAACACGAAAATGTTCGTAAAACAATTCAATGAGGTACTTCAGACAGGAATAAAGAGCCTTCCACTCTTAATTGACTTTAATTGAAACTGAAATGTAAACAGCCATGCAATACACGCACATGTAATTAAATTCTTATCTAATTCTTGTGATTTCAACATATGGCTATAATGGGGATAGTTGGGCAAAACGATAAAATATTGTTTTCATAAATACTTAAAGAAGAATTTAAGATTTTTCCAGAGTATATCTTCACTTTATGTTTCTTGTGAACATTTATCATCGTCTTTCCATATCAGACGAAAACGAAATATTAAAAAAGAATGTTATTCTACATAATAAATAAATTGCTATAAAGCCGAGTAAAAAAAGAAATGTTCTCATAAATCTATGTCAGAATGCCTCTGATACTAAAAATTCTCAGTAAGCAATAAAATGACTTTATTTTTCAAGGAAGACTGTGTGTCCAGCCCTCACCATGAAAATGCTGAAAAAGTATCGTCGTTATAATTGCAGCAAATTTACAGCAATCAGGGAAATCTTTTTTTGACGCCCTTTATTTTTTACTTTTTCGTTCTCTTTTTCCTAAATGCTGGAATGTATAATCGGGTTAAATATAAAGGTATTAATCCACTTAATAGCAAATCAACCTGGGCGAATTAAAAAGTATCAAAATATATCATTAAAGTATACGTATTCGAGCCAAAATTAAGAATCTAGTATACAGTAATTGTCCAAGCTTGACATCAAAGTTCGATGATACCTTTTGTGGATGATACGTCTTTCCTGCAGGGTTATATCGGTATGTTGGTTTCATTTTTATTTTTGGTTCTCTTGGAGCTTTCCTTTTTTGAATTGACAGCAATCCTTCCGCCATTCCAACTACCAGCAAATCGTCATCGGGCTATGTAAGACAATCAGTTACCACTTTAAATAGCATCCAGAGGTAATAACCACAAATACCTACCGTTATGAGACACGCCTTAACATATATTTAGCAGACCCTGTTGCAAAAGTGCAGACAGAAATTTCCACCGTCAATTATGATTTCTAAACATTCTGAAGATTAATATTCTTTATTTTAATGATGAATCGTGCCGACCATACCATTAAAACTGATCCTTAACAGAATATCAATGAAATGGAAACTTTGCGTACTTTTCAGACATCACTTAAATATTATGTCAAAGGTTGTTTTCTCCATCTCATTCAATAGGAATTCACAAGAATGGCAGATGCCTGCTTTTTAATTTCCCATTATCAAAATAAGAAGGGAAGATGAATCTTCGATGCTTAGTCATCTAAAGTAAGACATTCCCCTAAAAAAATCATTTCCTGAGCATTTAATTAAGAACACAGTCTTCTTTAGCGTTTTTCCAATCATTATTATGCAATATCTTATCAAAATGTAATGATCTGTTTGTAGCTGAAAAATAAAATTTTAACAGAACTTCTGTTTCTGTTGCCTAGATTTGGAGGGAAAACTTGTATCTTATCTTCTTATAGGTTTACATGTAATAAAATTTTGGTCATGTTTTCCTCTGCAGTATGGAGTATGATTTGCTTAAGCCCTCTTCTAATAGTATGATAGAAAAAGTACTTCAAAATTTTAGCAAATTTTTTAAGAGAGTAATGTTGAGAGAATGTTGGAGATACCTTTTTTAATGTTCCAACTTTTGTAAAACAGAGTATCGCATCGACACTTACCGATACTGCAGCACTGAGAATTGTGCCCGACATATCCAAGGTATGGACTACTTTGAACGTACTGATATCAAAAATCTTGATGTGCCTGTAATAATTAAGTAAAATATTAGAGATCACTTAAGATTTTGTAGGCTTTCATTGGCACTTTCGGATAGAAAGTACATATTTGATGTTGAAATTGAATGAAGTAATTACTAATTAGGCATATGCTGAAGTATTTATATTCATTGAAACAAACATAATAATTTTGTTAATGAACAAGTAAGCCAAAGAGGTATCAATCTGTTTTACGTACATATTTTACAAGCTCAAAAAGACTCGGTAAAAAACAAATAAAAAATAAAATCATTAGTCTGAATACCTTCAAGATAACAAATACGTTAAATGATTTAATACATGGATAATCTGCTACACGAAATCTACCAGCATAAAAAACCCTAAAAACAGTCGTATAAAAAAGAGCTGATATCCTCCGTCATTACTGCACTGCCAAAGACTGATTTCATTGACGTTGGTTTGCCGCCAAATTCATCAGCAGGACTAAATTAATGTAAACTTGATTGAATTAAAAACGCATAATTGATTAAGTCATGTTAATATGCTCTTTATTTTATAATACAAAAGGGAACATTTTCTTCCGCAGTGCATTAAGTAGAAGAATGCATTGCTTGCTTGGCGCAACAAGACGATGGGTTCCAAATGAATCATCTGTTAGGAAGGTTAACGAGATTAAAACTATTATGATATTTATATTTAGCTTCTCTTGAAATGAAAGCGAACTCGTTGGCTAATAAAAATTGATATTAATTTACGCCGCAAATCAAAATCATATTGTAACTCTGTGGAAATTTAGAGTTACTGCCCTTACTACAACAGCGCGAAGTGCCGAGTTCCAAGAAGTTTTTGCGATTGTTTTTTATATCCATAAATCCCTCTTAAGAATCAAGTCCACATTTCACTTATTGTTTTGGATGTGATTTAATTTAAAAGGCTACTGGCAGAGAACTATGAAATTGTACAATGCTTTAACTAACAGCGGGGGCTCGGCATTTGGTTTTATACAACTGACATCCATCAGATGGGAAACATTAAAATTACTTACTTCATAAAATAATTAAATACAGAAATAAGATTCCCGCTCTCACCCTACAAGCTTTCAGATGATATGCAAAAAAGGCCACCGCCAATGCACTGCTTACCCATCAGGGGGGACTCAAATCCTTAACTGATGTAAATTTAGGCATACTTGGGCTAATTCAAATGTCACATTTGATTGTGATAAATCTTAATTAACACTCGTCACGTGAGGATCTTCTTCCTCATGGAACCATGTATTTAAGGGGGATATCAGGACCTAATTTACAGATTTAAGCAGACAATATACGCCGTTTTTATTTAGATACTTTATTTTCTTTGTTCAAGCAAATTGCTTACTAAAATTATTGGGGAAAAGTTGACAATCCGATGTTGGTTTATCTTGGAATTACTTTTAGAACAAACATAGGAAGAATGATCGCAAAAAAGAATTAATGGATTCTTACGAAAATAATAATTTTAATTTACAGAACTTTCTTAAATAATACATTCTTCGCATGTACAGTACAGTCTTTCTTGATATTTCAACTCAATGTACCTTTATTTTTCGAGTTCTTTATCTGAGAAGAAATTGCTTTAAAAACTTATCACCTACGGAAAGGCCAGTGAAAAACTTAATGGTAATGTAACACTGGTGAGGAAAGTGCATTCTAAATTTCTTTTATTGAAATATAAAAGAGCCATAGCTGCCTTGCCGCCGACACGGCCGACTCGAGAATTTAAAAGGAAATCAACTGTTTCTATTTTTAGACTTTCTTGTTTAATTCAAAGCCAACATATTTTTAAATATCATTTGTGGACGTGTATTATATTTTCTTAAGTGCAAGTAAAACATATAAAAGTCATTTACATGCTCATTACTCTAATTTTCGAGACAAAAGGTTAAGAAAATCTTTAACAATAAATCAAGGAGGTATGAATTTGTAAAATTTAATAAAATAGTTTAGAACTGTCTTTTCCCGAGATACTTTCAAAGTGTAACGTGTATATTGAAACTTTTCGAAATTGTGTTCATTATAAAATATTTTTTTAAAAAAGTAGAAAAGAAACGCCAAAAAAAAAAAAAAAAATGAAAAATACCGGTCTCGACCTCGGAATCATAAGATTTTCAGCCCAGCGATCATACCGCCTCGCCACGAAGTCATTGATTTTCTAATAATAAAGAAGATCGGCGTGTTTGGCGTGTGATCTGCAGGAATAAGGCGTACGAAACATTTATAGTTTAAATGTCTACGATTTGGTCGGCTGACCACAGCTGGACACACTTTACAAAGTTACGCACATGGGAAAACGTTGTATTTAGTTTGAAATACTGTGTCGAATTTAATTTATCAGTCCGCTTATCTTAATAATTACTACATGTAAGACTTAGTAACGCTTCACATAAGTAATAAACACCTATGGGGTATAGTTAAATGCAATTACATGTATATATTAAAGTGTCAGTAGGTTGGAAAAATTGCTTTCGCTTTCGGTGCAACAGAACCAGAATTTATCTATTTGAAAATAAATCAGTACATAAAATTAAACTGACAAAAGAATTGATTGTTTGTACTAAAAAAATATTAACGCTCCATGCGAGGATCGAACCAAAAATATTTGTTTTTCATTGCACTGGACGGGTTACGCATACTACTGAGCTATCACCGCTCCACACACTTTATGGTTTTTAAAGCGACAATGAAGCGCCGCATTTACACGATGGAATTTTTTTTGGAAAAAGTTCATTTTTTATTGTCTCTGGGTCTTTTCTCCATTTTTTACAAATGTTTGTTCGTTTCTTTGAATTACAAGAGGCCCATGGGCCTTGAATCGCTCTTCTGATAAACTGTACAACCTATCACTTCTATTTGAAGCCTCGAAGTATCCTGTATATTTAGATAAACCCTTGAAATTCCAATTCACACTCTGAGAACCCAAAATGATTCTAAGCCAATTAGTACCTGAGAGTTGGTCATGGTGACCTACTTATCACTTGTCATTCTCTGAAGACCCATCAACTAAGTTTGATGATTCTAAGCCAATTAATACCTAAAATATTTTTTAAAATTATAACCATAAAATTTTATAAGTAGGTCAAAGTGACCTACTTTTCAATTGTTTTACTCCAAGGACCCAAGATGCAAAAGTTTGATGATTCTAAGCCAATTAGTACCTGTAATATTTAATTAAAGCCATAAATTTTCAAAAGTAGGTCACCATGACCTACTTTTCAGTTGCTGTACTCCGAGGACCAAAGATACATCGACTGACAAAGTTTGATGATTCTAGCCAATAAGTACCCAAAATATTTAATTACAGCCATAAATTTTCAAAAGTAGGTCACGGTGACCTACTTTTCAGTCAACCTACTCCGAGGACCAAAGATGCATCAACTGACAAATTTTGATGACTCTAAGCCAAATAATTCCTGAAAATATTAAATACAGCCATAAAATTTCAAAAGTAGGTCACGGTGACCTACTTTTCAGTTGTTGTACTCCGAGGACCCAAGACGCATCAACTGACAAAGTTTAAAGATTCTAAGCCAATTAGTACCCGAAATATTTGACTAAAGCCATAAATTTTCATAAGTAGGTCACCGTGACCTACTTTTCAGTTGTTGTACTCCGAGGACCCATGACGCTTAAACTGACAAAGTTTTATGATTCTAAGCCAATTAGTACCCAAAATATTTTATTAAAGCCATAAATTTTCTGAAAGTATGTCATGGTGACCTACTTTTTAGTCGACCTACACCGAAAACCCATGAGGCATCAACTGACAAAGTTTGATGATTCTAAGCCGATTAGTACCCGAAATATTTAATTAAAGCCATAAATTTTCAAAAGTAGGTCACGGTGACCTACTTTTTAGTCGACCTACTCTGAAGACCCAAGATGCATCAACTGACAAAGTTTGATGATTCTAAGCCAATTAGTACCCGGAATATTTAATTAAAGCCATAAATTTTCAAAAGTAGGTCACCGTGACTTACTTTTTAGTCGACCTACTCCGAAGACCCATGAGGCATCAACTGACAAAGTTTGATGATTCTAAGCCAATTAGTACCCGGAATATTTAATTAAAGCCATAAATTTTCAAAAGTAGGTCACGGTGACCTACTTTTTAGTCGACCTACTCTGAAGACCCAAGAGGCATCAACTGACAAAGTTTGATGATTCTAAGCCAATTAGTACCCGAAATATTTAATTAACGCCATAAATTTTCAAAAGTAAGTCACTGTGACCTACTTTTTAGTCGACCTACTCCGAAGACCCAAGATGCATCAACTGACAAAGTTTTATGATTCTAAGCCAATTAGTACCTGAAATATTTAATTATAGTCATATAAATTGAAAAGTAGGTCACGGTGACCAACTTTTCAGTTGACCTTTTTTGAGGACCCAAGATGCATCAACTTACTAAGTTTTATGATCATAGGACTTAAAATGTCCAAATTATGCCTCTAAAACGCTTTGAAATCGAATGCCTGCAAAGTTCAAAAAGTAGGTCACTGTGACTTACTTTTTAATAAATATGTTTTATGGCCCCAAGATGCATCATCTTACAAGATTTAATGATTCTAAGCCTCCCCGTATTCGAATTAATGACCTTAATTGTTTTAAAAAAGTTTAGCCATAAAATTCAAAAAGTAGGTCAAGGTGACCTACTTTTTAGTTGACGTACTTTGAGGACCCAAGATGCATCAACTGACAAAGTTTGATGATCATAGGCCTTAAATTGTTCAAAATATGCCTCTAAATCATTTTGAAAAAAAATGGCCGCAAAATTTAAAAAGTAGGTCACCGTGACCTACTTTTGAGTAAACATGATATGAGGTCCTTAGATGCACCAACTGACAAGATTTGATGGTCCTAGTCCTTATAGTAAGCAAAATATCAACATTTTAATAAAATGTAATTTTGGTCAACTTTGAAGTGACCTTGAGACCACGCCCTTTGCCCCAGGGTAAATCCCCGTGCAAATTTTAATCTACAACATATCCTC